TATTCATCTCAGGGATCAACCCCTCATATCATTTTCCACAAAAAAAAAAAAAAAAAAAGAAAAAAAAAAAAAAAAAAAAAAAATGGAAGAAGAAGAGAGAAGAAAATAGAAAAACTCTAGGTTTGACCCTCGTAAAAAATTAAAACCTGAGTTTTTAGATTTTTCATAATAAATCGTGAACTTTTAAATTAGGCACTCTAGCTGTGAGTAAGTAAGTTGTGATGATTGTGGAGGAGGGAAGAAGACATGAAGTAGAAAAAATAGTGGAGAAAGAGAGGGATAAATGACAAAATATACTTCAGTAAAGCAAACAATTATATTTTGTTGTAGCTTCATTGTGTCATTTGTAGTCAATCATGCGATTTGATTTTAGATATGATTGGAGTTGTGTGATCGAGGTATTAGTTTAACCCTATGAATCATGGGTACTTCGAAAAACATGCCGTATTCGTACCGAGTACTTACTGGCGTATGGTACCTCGTATGGTACCTCTGCACATACTTACCAGGTACATGAAACACGTATTCAAATATTTTCTTCTTAATTTTTGGCGTACCCAGATGTACCTATCATATACCCAAGGCGTACCGTACCTCAATTGAAATAATATTTTCTTTCACTACAAAAATAAAACTCCTTTCACTTAGATTTCTTTTTAATTTTTAGTTTTATACATAGCATGATTTTAAAATTAAGGTATAGTTTATAAGTTATTTAATATATTGATATTTAATTTTGATTTATACCTTTACTTTTAGCATTGAATGTTAATTATAGGTTGGATCTTAACAAATTAAACTATTTAATTAATTTTTGCATTACTCTAAACTAAAAATAAATATTTTTTTTACAAGATTACCAAGCCGTTCCCGTATCCTACTTTTTTTAGATTTTACTATATCGATGTACCTGTATCGTTCAAATACCAGTATTCGTATCCGTACCCGTGCTTCATAGGTTTAACCAAAATGCATAGAATGTGTGCCAAAACTACAGCCTTGGTCACATTTAATGCTTGCAAAAAACAACCCCAAAAGATTAGAAGCGATAGTAAATTATTTAGGAGAATGAATGTGATTCCAATTTAGCAGGTAAAGTATCTCATCTTTGGCCTTGGAAAGCCTTTTTGCAGTTGTTCCAGACTTTTTTTCTCAGATTAGTTTTACCATTAGAGATGGATCTTTAATCTATTATAAAATGAGATGAGTACGATAAATATTTTGCCACAAGCTTTGATTCCTACAATTGATGCAGGGCAGCGTGGAAAACATTATTAGGGATGATTGTACTCGGTTCATAGTGGGCGGTGGAAAGCCTAGTAAGGACATGTAGTATTAACAATTTGTATTACTATATGCAAGAAATGAAGTTTTTCGGGACCAGTTACAAAAGAAATACAAATTTGGTGGCTGTTGTGTGTGTCGTGAAGGGTACATGTGAATAATAATGAACGGCTGGTTGGTATTGTTTAGGTTTTGGGGTTGAATGGTTGTTGATGGAAATGGATTGGTCTTCTTCTTTATGGTGATTTGAAGCCGGAATTTAGGGAAAAAGGTTGTTGGAAATTCCAAGTGAAACACAGTGATAAATAAGATGTTTAGTAGTAGTATGCTGGCTGTTTTTTTGTATACTGGATCAGAAGATCAACAGATGCTTCATTCAGTTATAAACTGGATTTTACAAATACCCTAGGGAACTTTTATATGGATATATTGTTACACACAGTTTTTACAACTTGATATGCTGTATAAAGTAGTTACCATAGTTGTCAAATCGAGAATTGCATCGTAAATTGAAATCGTAATTTGCAAATCCTGAACTGAATTATATCGTGAATAGTAGGAATGGCAACGGGGCGGGGCGGGGCGGGGCCGGGGATCCCACTCCCCGTCCCTGATCCCCGATGGCCAAAACTTCCCCGTCCCCGGCCCCGATCCCCGGAACGGCTGGTTGGTATTGTTTAGGTTTTGGGGTTGAATGGTTGTTGATGGAAATGGATTGGTCTTCTTCTTTATGGTGATTTGAAGCCGGAATTTAGGGAAAAAGGTTGTTGGAAATTCCAAGTGAAACACAGTGATAAATAAGATGTTTAGTAGTAGTATGCTGGCTGTTTTTTTGTATACTGGATCAGAAGATCAACAAATGCTCCATTCAGTTATAAACTGGATTTTACAAATACCCTAGGGAACTTTTATATGGATATATTGTTACACACAGTTTTTACAACTTGATATGCTGTATAAAGTAGTTACCATAGTTGTCAAATCGAGAATTGCATCGTAAATCGAAATCGTAATTTGCAAATCCTGAACTGAATTATATCGTGAATAGTAAGATTGGCACAAATTATAAAAATTATGAAACAATTGTATATATAAAAAAATTTAAAATTAATTGATATTGAAACATGTATACAATGCTTTATATATACGAGGACGTGATTACAATGTCTAATTGGGAAGACAATGCCTGTATAGCAAGAGATGTGGGTCTAAATCCCACTAACTATAAAATGATTCATATACTATAATATATTCTCTTTAATATTTAAAAAGAAAGACCTAAAAATCCCAAATTTAGTATATTACAAAGAAAGAGTAAGTGGCGATCCTTTGTTTTAATATCTAAAACACTTTAAAAGGCGTGTGTGCTTATTGTTAAAAAACGGAAGTAAAAACCAATTGTGGCAATTTCCCCATGTTTTATTAAATCGTGTTTATTTCATCAAAATTACAATAGATAGTTTGTGTGTGCAAGTTGCTTTAGCTTTATAAGATGTATTTTGACATTTTTCTGAGATAAAAAAAAGGGCTTAAGATTCTGATGGGCTATACTATAGATTGGATTGGATTTTATTAAACTACAATTTTTGCATAACTATTGGTTATTTTCATACTACACACTACAACTTGTTTGAAGTCATTTTCACCAAAAAAGATGTACAAAGGGGGCAGAATTTGTCGGATCTGATAATTTCAAGAATTGCATAATTGTAAAAGCGTGAATCAATTTATGAATCGTGTGATTCACCGTCAATTCTATACCAAAATATTTTCACCCATAGATTTGCATTGATAATAGTAAATCGAATGGTGAATTGTAAGGTTCTGATAATCAATGTAGTTACCATACTAACTAGTTTTGAACAGGGTTTTCTATTATGTACTGTTACCATAGTAACTAAAGTTGTTCATGATGGGCTATGAACAACTTGGAAATAATAATTTTGCTATTTTGGGAAAGAGAATAAGAGGTAGAAATTAGAATCTAAAGACTTCACACTCACAATGGTCACATAAAATCACACTAACTAGTTTTGATGCTTGATTTGGTATGAATTAGATTTGTATTATGATGAACAAAAAGGTGATTCCATTAGATTCCATTAAATTCTAATTTAATGTTTCATATGCTGGTGTGTGTATGTATGAATTTTTACTTTTCTACAACCAGGTGACAATGCCCAGAGATGCCTTACATATTGGAGGTGTCGAGCACCGAGAATTACATAATGCCTATGGATATTACTTTCACATGGCTACTATGGATGGGCTTGTAAAGCGAGGAGATGGGAAAGACAGGCCTTTTGTTCTGTCTAGAGCATTTTTTCCTGGAAGCCAAAGGTATGGAGCAGTTTGGACGGGAGATAACATGGCAGAGTGGGAACACCTCAGGGTTTCAGTTCCAATGATTTTGACACTTGGTCTTACTGGATTGACATTCTCTGGTAACAGAACTTCCTCTTATTTGGTCAATTGGTTACAAGTTCCTTTTTCTCATAGATGATATTCGTAACAAGTATTTTCTCCAGGCGCGGATGTTGGTGGGTTCTTTGGAAATCCCGAGGTGGAGTTGTTAGTTCGCTGGTATCAGATAGGTGCCTACTATCCTTTCTTTAGAGCCCATGCCCATCATGACACCAAAAGACGAGAACCTTGGTTATTTGGGTAGGTATCCTCTACTATTTAAATGAGAATATTTATTTTTAATTTGGATTTAAAAGCAAAATACCTTGTTCTTCAATTTTGAGATCTTTGGATTCGTAGGATCATAATGTTGTGTACTGTTTACTAGTGTGCTTGTAGCTGTTGTGAGATTCTACATATACATACATATATACATTCCTTTCTGTGTCTGTATGTTATTGATATACTAAAATTCATGGATACTTCTTAGAAAGTGGCGTGTCCATGTTGGGTACGCGCCAGACACCGACACTCATCACATATTTAGGGGGCCGACCTTTCTCAGCAACATGATAGACATGGCCAGATCTCTCGCTTTCAAAGCTACAAGTGTCATTACAACACCATTCTATGATCTTATAGTTGAGAGATAAGAATGGGATAAGCTCCCACTTTTCCCCCTTCCCCCTTTTCAGTCATATAGGTGCATTGACACGACACTTTTTTAAAGGATCAGGACGTGAACAAGATAAGTGGAAAAATAATTACAATCATCCAATTGTACATTTATACATTGGAAAAGAAGTGAGAAAAACTTAATGTTCATTTAAAGAAGCCACAAATGTTCGCAAACAAATTAAAAGTTGTTAGGGTTTAGGGTTTGAAAAATTAAAAAGACTAAAGAAGGGTTGAATACGTTCAAAGTTTTTAATTTATTTTATTTTTAAACTTGTGCCAAAATCTTTCACGCATGGTCAATGTATGCAGTGCATGTCCCTTGTGTGTGGGAAGTGTGTATGGTCTTAAAAGATTTAAAAAATAATCTGATATGTTTGGATGCATGCCTAACAAATGTTGGCTTGTGTCTGACGAGCATTTGTAACTGCAATGTGTGGGACATGCCACCTTTGGAGGCGTGTATGCGCTTCCTAGTTTCTAGGACATGCATCAAAAAACAAACTATAGGTGGGGGTTCCAACAGGCTTTTACTTCAGGCTGGATCTGCTGGCATGTTAAGGACTTAACTGATTTTATCTGGTTTGCTGGGAATCCCCTAATGTTTTACTCTTTGAACTGATTAGAGGTTGTGGACTCGTGGCCCATTGTCCTGCACAAGTTGTGAAAAATTTCACTAACTGGTTAAGTTTGGCACCATTTATCTTCTCTCACTGGTAGAATTTCTGTAGGCTTCACTGAGAGACTTCAGGGTTTTATAATTATCTTTTCCCCTAGGATGGCAGGGCTGTAAAATTGATAGTGCTAAGTAAGATTTATAACAATTTATGCATGTATCACATTGGTGGTGTTTCACACACTAGTGCACCCTTTCCAGTGTTTTAAGTTGAGCATAACTGGTTGAAGGTAAAGTTTATTACTGTTATCTTATGTTTATTGGAAAATTGAAGAAGTGAATAAAATTAATGCTTACTTATTTTTGATTGGATTATTACATCCCACAGCTGGTTATTAGTTACACCTTCAGTTTTCGTAAAAATAACATTTGTTGGTTATAGCTTGGGTAGTGTTGTAATCTAATTACCCTACTGTAAATCAATAGTAATTTATTTATTGTTCCATTGACTTCAGAGAGCGAAATACAGAACTCATGAGGGAAGCCATACATGTTCGTTATATGTTGCTCCCATATTTCTACACATTATTCAGAGAGGCAAACACTACTGGTGTTCCAGTTATGCGTCCACTTTGGATGGAGTTCCCTTCTGATGAAGCTACTTTCAGCAATGATGAAGCCTTCATGGTTGGAAGCGGTCTCTTGGTGCAGGGGATATTTACTGAGGTGCATGGGATATTTATTAATATTATTATGTTACGTTTTCTCTTGTTTCGTTCTTTTTTTATTTTTTTTTAATCTTATATGGTTAAAAAAGCAAGTGATAAATAAATTCATTACTTTCGTACCAGCGAGTGAAACATGCATCGGTATATTTGCCTGGTGGACAATCATGGTATTGCCTGAATTCTGGGACTGCATACAAGGGAGGCACAACCTATAAGGTTGAGGTTTCAGATGATGGCGTTCCTGCTTTTCAAAGGGCTGGAACCATCATACCAAGGAAAGATCGGTTTCGCCGAAGCTCCACCCAGATGGCAAATGATCCTTACACTCTGGTATGTATTTGATACCCAGTTGTAATCTTATAATCACGAGCTAAGTAGGATAGCCACTACTTCAATTTTCAAAAAATATAGGACATGACATGCTTAGACACGTTAAAATTTTATATTTTTATAAATCTATTGTGTATTATATGTCATATATATAAATAATTTATTGGAGGATAATGAAAAATATAAAATATAACACTAAATACATTATAAGGTTTATATATTTCATAACTTAAATATCAAGATATCATTCATGTAAACAATTACATATTAAAGAATGCGAAACAATTATAACACAGTGTAATACACATAATCTATTTCATCTTATCGATGCTTCAAAACATATTTATAGTGCATAAATTGTGTTTTGAAGAATGCCATTTTTCAAAAACAATTTTTTGAGTTTTCACTTCGTATTTTTATATTTTAAAATATTTTAATCAATTTTTTAAAAAAAATTTAGATTCACTTAAATCTTAATATACTTAAAAAGTAAAAACTTTGTACAAAAATCTTTAAAAAATTCATTAAATATAACAAAATACGAAATGTATTGAGTTTTTGTTTTTTGTATTTTTTGTATTTGGCGAATTTTTTAAAGTTTTTTTCACAAATATTATATTTTTTAAACATATTTAGATTAGGTGTATCTAAAAAATAAAAAAAATTTGCGTAAAATATTAAAAAAATTCACAAACAAAAAAATATAGAAAACAAAAAACTCAATTTTTTGAAAAGTGGACTCAATTGTCTGAAACCAAACATGGTGATTATTTTTATGGAAGTATTCATCACATAAGACATGTTCGTATGGAAGGATTCATCACATAAGACGTGTTTGGAGTAAGAAGTGTTAGTAAAGTGTCGATATTATAAATTTGATTGTTTAGTTAAGATATGTTGTAGAATTGTCATACATGCTTTTTAAGGAGGTCCGTCTTCCCTCAGAAATGTCTGTGCTCCTTAGAGCATCTCCAACGGTAATAGGCATTTTATCTATCTAAACATTACTATAAAGTATATATTTTATTTTGCCTATCAACTATATTAAAAAAATTCACAAACAAAAAAATATAGAAAACAAAAAACTCAATTTTTTGAAAAGTGGACTCAATTGTCTGAAACCAAACATGGTGATTATTATTATGGAAGTATTCATCACATAAGACATGTTCGTATGGAAGGATTCATCACATAAGACGTGTTCGGAGTAAGAAGTGTTAGTAAAGTGTCGATATTATAAATTTGATTGTTTAGTTAAAGATATGTTGTAGAATTGTCATACATGCTTTTTAGGGAGGTCTGTCTTCCCTCAGAAATGTCTGTGCTCCTTTGATCACAAGCTAAAGCACCCAAGACAAATTAATATATCTAAAATGCATTTATTCATATTCAATTCTCTGATATTACTCTTATTATTTTCTTGCGATCAACCGAAAATTAATGTTTTTTTAATTAATTTATTGATTAGTTATATATATATATATATTTGTTCATCTAGGTTTTTCTGTGACCAAAGAAATGATAGGAAACAAAATGCAACATTTTCTAATGCTTATTCGAAAGAGCATTAGATATAGACTTTATGAATAAGTTTCTATTCGAAAGAGCATATCCTTTTCTGCGATTCCACTTGGGTTCAGGTTTAATTTTCTTTGTAATGCGAATGGCAGTTTTCCAGTTGGACAGAAATTAATTATTCTTTCACTTCTGTTCCCAACGTCAGGTGATAGCTCTTAATAGTACCCAGGAAGCCGAAGGTGAACTCTATGCTGACGATGGCAAGACCTTTGATTTTGCACAAGGAGCTTTCATACACCGGCGCTTTGTGTTCTCCAATGGGAAGCTTACATCTTCAAACATGGCACCTTCTGCCCTTGGCAAAACCCAATTTTCCTCGGACTGCGTTGTTGAGAGGATCATACTACTAGGATACTCCCCGGGACCAAAAAGTGCCTTAATTGAACCGGCAAACCAGAAGGCTGATATTGAACTTGCCCCACTTTACCTTCGAAAGAGGCACAGCCCAACTGTTCTCACCATCCGCAGACCTAATGTCCGTATTGCAGATGATTGGACAATTAAAATTTTGTAAGGATGGACTTGTGGTTTTTCTCAATTTTTAGCGCGTAATAGGTGATAAAAAATCAGGTGTTCCATCTTATGGATTTTGTTATAAGAATGGTTGAGTTCCTTGGTTTTATACACTAGTATTATATTTAATTGTGCAATTTCAGTGAACTCATATACCAACTTCAAAAGAATAATTTTGGTGACCTGTTTGGAGTTGAAATTGCTCAGTTTTAGAGTGAATTATGTTTGGTATGCTAAAAATGAAATGTAAATTTTAACCTTACATTCTAATTCTCGTGGTTGATATACATAAATACGAATAAGCATTCCACTAGAATGTATTTCCAACAAAAAGTAAAATTACTTATTTATGTTTTTCAAAATTAATAAGAAATGGTCATTCTATGAAAGCCCAATTCTGTGTAACATGCTGCATGGTTATCTATGAATTTGTTTATGCTTTTGTTGGGTTTGTAATGGTATAATAAGAGCATGTTTTATCTCTAGCTTGATCTGATCTGATCAGATTTTACAGCGGGCTTAATTTACCCATTCCAAGCAAGCTCGGCTTTAAAAGGAACTTTTAATTTTCAAGTTTATCCGGTTAACCTAATTAATATAGCCTAATTTTATTTTTATTTTTATTTTTTTGTTTTGTAGTGGTTTTAAATTATTTCGCCCTTTTAATAATTATTTGAACTTAAAACATTAACAAAATTTAATTATAAAATAAATATGATCAATTAATAAATATTTTAATTTAAGTCCTATAAAGAACTATATGGATATACTTTTTATTTTTATTTTTTATCTTTTAATATTATTTTAGTTTGTTTTTGAAGCTAGTTAATATAAAATAAAAATTATCATTTATAAATGGGAGGGCCGTGCTGGGTCAAACTGAGCTAAAACTCTTTGTTCTAAACTTAGTTCGAAAATTAAATTGGCTCAAAATCTCAACCCGCTAATTCTTTTTTCTCAAACCATAAAAATACCATGTTGGGTTGGATAGGCCATCGGACCCATGGCTATCCCTAGATTAGAGTGATGTTTCATCCGTAGAGCTTAATTATACCAATGGTTGTAGTTTTTTTTTATATCTTGATCTAATATATAATTTTATTGATTTGATTTTGAAATTATAAAATGTGAGTTTTATTTATTGGTTCTAAGTGCTCATACTGTCTAAATCAGTTATCAGGAATTGATTATTTTCAAACTTCACAAATAAAATTGAAACAAAATTATAAGTGGGATCAAAACGCAACATACTTTGTAGACTAAAATGTAACAAAATTTATATTTTGGTAACCAAAACAAATTAACAATGTGTATTTGAGTTGCGTGAGCATTGGAAATATTTAAATATATATTTTTGTAGTTTTAAGACAAAATTAATAAAATTAAAGTAGAACAAAACGCATATATCTGGGGATCTATGTTAACAATACAAAAATATTTTAAGATGAAAAAATAAATAAATATAAAAAGAACATCATTATATATATTTTTGTTCAAATGTGTTCTTCGGAGTACATAACTTTTTGTATATGGTTTTCTATAATGAAATGTGGGCATTATTATGATTGAACAAAAAAAAAAAATTTTGGTCCAACTTTCTTTATCATAATTCCATTTCATCCACCTTTACCATGTTTTACAATACAAGAAGATATGTATATCTAAAAATATATATTAATTCTTATAAAACAAGAAATATAAAAATCAGGAAATATAATAATTTTACATTACTATTATATACTAAACTAAAATACTCCTAACCAAATATTAATTTTAAAATATAAATAAAAATATATTATATTATTACTAAATCTCGTTTGCACCAATTATTCTGACTTTTAGCATTAAGTTATCCATTTTCAGACAAGAAAGTGGCATTCCAAAGTTGAAACACTTCTAACCTTTTGACTGGATGGATACTAGCTATTAGTTGAAGCCAAGCCAGGGAAAGCCATGGCATGGCATAAATAATAATAAAAAATGAAATAATGATAGATAAAATATGTGTAAGAGCATAGATAGGTGTCCATATATCATTTGAATCCCATTGTGGATTGGTGGAGGTTTAGATGCTCTAAAACAATGTTATCTGTCTGCAATTGTTTGTTAAAGAATATATACCATACCATTCAATTTGTTAGGGCCATATGTATGGATGATGATCCTTTTCAACACTATTTTCGTTTAGCCATTTTTCAATATTTGATTTAAAAGTTATAATTCAACCGTTAGTTATTATCATATTTTGTGACCTTTAGATCAAGTGTTGGAGTATGGTTGGCCGAAGAAAATATTGGAGAGAATCCAATTCCTAAATGGATGTGACAAAGAAGTAGGACATATTTTTAGAGCAAATTGATTTTTTCAAAACATGAAAAAATAAGAATATATTTATATGAGTGTGATCTTTGGATTGCCAATTCAACAAGAGGGCTCATCAATCCCTCCATGATAATATTATTTTGGATAAATTACATTTTATCTGTATAAACTATTATTTCATATCATTTTACTCCTTTGAACTAAAAATTGTAACATTTAAACCCCTATCTATTAATTCTTTTTAATTAGAACCTTAATGACAAAAATACCCTTTTGAATAGATAATTTATAAGTTTTTTTTTAAAAATAATATTTCATATTTTTTATTTTTAGTAATCCTTTTTTATATTTTAGTCAAAATTTTAAATTTTTAGATACACCTAAAAGTTAAATATTTTTGAAGATTTTTGTTTTGAAAAATCACTAAAGACGAAAAAATAAAAAAATAAAAAACAAAAAACTACTACATTTTTATTTTCTTGTCTTTAGTGAACATTTTTTAAATTTTTTTCATAAATATTTTTGTTATTTGGTTTTTAAATTTTTTTTCTAACAAATTAAAAGTTAATTTAGTGATAAAATGAAAAAAAATAATAATAAGAAAGTTTAAATTGAAAGTGATATTAAGTGATAGTTTAAGAGGATAAACTGATATGAGGTGACAGTTCAAGGGGTTAAAGTGTAATTTATCCAATTGATAAAAGGATATTTTAATCATAAAGGTTCAAATTGAAAAACAATTAATAGATGAGGGAGGTTAATTGTTACAATTTTTAGTTGATGGAGGTAAAGTGGTACAGAACAATAGTTGAAGGGGAAAAAGTGTAATTTACCCTATTATTTTTAACTCTTGACAGGGTCGAAATCAGAATTTCAACTTACAAGAAAATACATTTTTAAAGACAGAATCAATTGTACACAATTTTTCTATTTGCAATGGAAATACAATAAAATAAAAAGTTGAAAGATCCTAATATTTGGTGTAGACCTCTAACTATCATGTAGTTAAAATAAAATAAACTCAATCAACATATTAAACCAAAAAGTAAAAATTATAAATCATATCACTCTTTTCAAAATAAATGTAAATTAAATTAAAACTTTCTTTTTTTTTTTTGATCGGGAACTGAAACTACTGTAATATTCATTTCATGCGATGACCAAATAACCATTATTTTTAATAATTTAATTCAAAAAATAAAAAAAATTCTAATAAATAAATTTGAGATATAATGATAGAATTTATATACATACCTTAAAAAAAGTTTTAAAAAATCTTGACCCAATTTGTTTAGGATCATCACTACGCCTCCACTGCAGCATCACCACCAGCCCACCAGGGCGCACCACCACTACAACCTCAAACTCATTAGTTTTAAGTTCACAATTAAATATAGAAAAATATTTTCTAGTCAAAACAAATGGAGTGCTAGGTTGATAGTTCGATTAGCCTGTTGATCAGAATTTTTGCATCTTAGTAGGATTTAAATTGCAAACACGCATGTGTCTTATTCTCCATATGTGAGAAATTATTGATACTTTTGAAACAATGTTCCATTCCATTTACTAATTGACATATTGTATATTATTCTAAAACTCCAAAACAAAAGTGTTGGGTTTCATAATTTGGACAAATAATCACTACAACATATAAAGATTTTAAAGACTAAACTTTTTTATTCCCAAGACTAAAATTTTGTTGTAAAAAATATTTGGAGACAAATTATGATCGTTGCAAAAAAGGTTGGCTTGAAGTCAAAAGAACGACTTTTAGCGACAATTTTGAAAATATAGGTAATAAATAGGTTGACCATTTGGTGCCAATAAATTTTACTAATTGTGACAAAAAATTTGATCCAAAAAAGAAGATAATTCACTAATGTTTAATTTTGTCACTAAAAATACAACGATGACATTTTTTGACAACTAAAACATTTCGTCCTTAAAAAGTTATTTGTCTCTAAATTTTTTGTTTCAAAAAAATGTCTTATAGTGAATTATTATTTGGAGCACCATCTAAACTTGCTCCAGAAGTATCGAGTAATTTCTCCCCATATATTTGTTTGGAATCTTTCCCATTTTTTGAGTTCTACTATGTTTGTTTGGAGTTTCATTTTCTCAATTAAAATGGTTTTTTTTTTTTTTTTTCTTATTGTAATTATAATTGATTTGGTTTCATTTGTAATATGTTACATTCTTTAAATAATAATTTTAAAAATGAACTCAGGTTTGATAGTTAAATCACACTTTTTCCCCCTTTGACACAATCATGGGTGATGAATTGTATAGCATCGCCTAATTACATTTAACATTACATTAATCAATACCTTTTTTTTATAGTTAATCCTCAAAAGAGAATTCAAATGTCAAGGATATATACCCCTAAAGATAAGAACTCTTGGATTGTTCCATAACCAATCATTCTTCTAGTCTTTGGCAATCAAAGATATGGGAATACGATACTGCTTAATGATTTTTGTTCTAAATCATGAAAGATTGAATGGTCATCCAGAATTTTCAATCTTAAAAATTTTAGACAACACCCTGTTATCGAGCACTGAGAAATAAAAAATATAAATAATACTAACATATAACCGGATTTTTCATTATTAAACATAGAGGTAGTGAGTTCTACATGTATTTATTAAGGAGATTCAAATAGGCTGTATGGAGCCTATCTCTATTCCAATGATTCAATCCATTTATTTGTAGGTCGGTATGTGTGGATAATCTGTGTTTTCTTGGTGTATAGAAGGTGATCGGTTGATCAACGAATTACAGATTGTCTAATGTTAAGGGTTGTTCTTATTATTTCGCGAACAAAAGAGAGAGGTGTTGTTCGGGGGGTTTAAAGAACTTGGGCCTGGAGTTTTGATG